CCAGAGATGAGTAGTTGTAAAGGTTCTACTATATTCCTGACTGTGTTTGCAGTGCATATAAATACGTAATAGAAATGTCCCCTTCCAGACCCAAAGACACTCACGGATGCAGTCCCCTTTGACGTCCTGTCCCTGTCTGGCTTGGGTATGTATCCACGTCTAAATGATAGTTATAACTGTTATTTCAGGATTGTGTATGTAATAATATTGACCTTTGTTTCCTTTAGCTCATGTGCTTCTCCCAGTGTCTGTCTTTGTCTGATCATGCTGCGCTGCCCTCTCCCTTGTGTGTGCAGCTTCCCTTCAGCCAAGTTAGCCTTCTAGTTGGTAATCACTCTCTCGCCTCCTCTCACCCTTATTAACCTTTAAAGAATTGTTTCCCCCTTTGTTAGAACCTTTACTTGACTTTTTATAGTAGTAGTTGTCCTTTTGTAATAGACTAATTTAACTCAACATAAGTTTCACTCTGTTGTATGTAGGGTCACCCAGTGGCACCTACTAACAAAATCAATATTCTCCAGGTTCATCTATGTTGCGAGATGTTTCAGATTCATTGTTGTTTTTTAACCTTGTGTAATATTCCCTTGTGCGCATACACCATACTTTGTGTATCTACTCATCTATTGATCAGCAATTCATCTACTTTTATTTTTTGTTCTTTGATCACTCCCTCTTGAGCATTTTTCAGATGTGTTCTCCCCATGGATAATGTCCAACACCACCTCTTTAGCTAAGTAGTATTGCACTAACAGAGATGTCACGAGTAGACAGCTTTAACAAACATGATTTTCTTTCTCACAGTTGTGAGGCTAGAAGTCTGAATTCAGAATGCTGGCTCTAGGGCAATATTTCCCAAAACGGTCAATGCTGTCCCCTGGAAGGTGCTGGAATAATCGAGGCAGGGGGATGGCAAATCGCATACCTACGCTTTATCATGGATGACAGACTACAATAAAAATAGTTTTTCATTGCCAAAGCTGTGCTGAGTTTTGGGGTTCTTTCCCCCCACCCCTTAAAAGTGGGTAGTAGACCAAATCATTTCAGGACCCCATGCTCTAGGGAAGGTTTTCTTTGTCTCTGTGTCCTGGGTCTGTGAGGTTCCCTGCACAAAAGATGCTCCAAAAGATGCTGTCTGCTCCCTCTTCTTCTTTGTGTTAGAAGATCCCTCTTGTTCTGCTTGCTTCTCTCTTTGACACTAAAGGGATAAGTAGGCCACACCCCGAGGAAACTTCCCTACATCAGCTCTGAGCTCATTTCACCCTATTTCTCTCAGCCAATTAGATGATCATATCAGATCACATCATAGAGGATGATCACAATATGATATAGCTGCCAGATTATATTGTTATGTAACTGCCAATTATCACCATCGCCTCGTCTAGCTGATACATATTTGGGGGGCAAAATTGAATTCATGACAACACCCTTATGATGCTTCTTCTACCAGGGCATCCTTGCTTCTCTTCCTCTGCTCATTATTCAATGTGTGCCTTAAGTGTCCTTTCCGGGTGATCTTCTATTCTCATTTAAACACAGATTCCTAGAAATCTCATCCATTGTCAGAATTTTACAGCCATCTGTTTGTGTTGAGTGTCCAAATGCATATCTCTCGACTACTCTTCTCTCTAGAATGCAGATCCAGTGGCCCCTGGACATTACATGCAGAGAGTCTAAAAGCACTTAAAAGCCTCATGTCTGTAAGCTAGGTATTGAGAAAACACAGTTTGATATTGAGTTGTCTGTAATCTACAGGGGAAGACAAATGAGTTAACTGACAGCTACAATTCAGAATGATGGAATAAGCACAGAGGCATCTGGTCCACACTGCCAGTGCTAAGGGCAGGAGTACATGAGAAGATTTCTCCGAGGGCAATGCTGCACACATCCTAACAGAGGTCACACCCAGCAACAATGATTCAGAGAACAAATGTACTTGGATTAATACGGGGATGAGTAACAAAGCCTTATATAATTTTGATTAAGTACCAGGCACAGTTCTAAGTAGCTAATGTGTACTTAAAACTCACTGCCACCAGGTCAATTCCAAATTATCATGACCCTATAGGAGGACAGAGTAGAACTGCCCTCCCGGGTTTCCTTAAGTCCTGGTGGGATAGTGGGTTACTCACTGGGCCATAAACTGCAAGGTCAGCTGCTCAAAACCCTAAGCTGCTCCACAGGAGAAAGATGTATTGTCTTTGTTTGGGGTTTCATAGGCTGTAACTTTTGATGGGAGCAAAAAGCCTAATGTTTCTCCCATGGAGCAGCTGGTAGGTTTGAGGGTCATATGTACTAAATAGCTTAACTTTTATAGTCACCCAGGGAAGTATTGAATCGTTTCCTAAGTTTATAGGTAAAGAAGCTAAAGGTCTATGAGATTAAACAGTACGACTCTTCAATTGGGCAGTCAGCCTCTGCCCAGAGGCTCTCCCCTCCATGGCTGTAGTGCAAAGGTACTGCAGTTCAATTGGCTGGAGCTATACAGCCAATGGGAAGAAGAGAACAAACGAAACATGAGACCATAGGAGCACTGGTGTCACACTGGTTACATGTTGGGCGGCTCCCTGAAAAGTCACAAGTTAGAGAGCATCAGCCGAAGGAAGTCTGGGCCTCCTACTCTGGTGGAGTTCCCGTCTTGTGATCTCACAGGGACGATTAGTTCCACTCGTGTCCTGTAGGGCCACTGTGAGTCGGCACAGACTCGATGACAGTGAGGCTGGTGTTTGATTTGGTTTGGTTTTGGTATGCCAGGCCCAATTCATGTTTCTTCTCAAACTGGATGCAGCTATGCCCAAGGGGGCATAGAGATTGAGAGGGCAGGAGACATGATTTTGGATGTGTACATTGTACCAAAAAAAGTTTTGGGTTTTTTTATTCCAAACTGAATTTTACTCCAAACTGAATACAAGCAACAACAAAAAGCTACTCAAACTTATAGCTCACTGCCATAAAGTGCATGCCTACTCAGAGTGTCTGTCCCTAGTGACCCACACAACTGCCCTGCGGAGTTTCAGTAACTCTTTAGGGGCGTGGAAAGGCTCCTCTTTCTCCCACAGAGTGGCTGGTGGCTTTGCACTGCTGACCTAGCAGATTGCAGCCCAGCACGTAACCACTATGCCATCTTGGCAACAACAACAGCAACAAAAAGTTACCAGATTCTATAAATTGCATTTGGGCAAATGTTTGTTTATTAACACGGGGTTTACAAAACAAAATTTGCTTACTCTTATTTCCTACTGATGAATTTCTTGGTAATATGAAAGTACAGAGAATTCTTGTGTGTTTGTGTTATTTTGGATTTACCATAGTTATTTATTTTAAAGTGTAATGATCTGGAATTTAAGAATATTGATTAGTGGTTAAAAAACTGGAAATTCTAAGCATAAAAATTAAACAGCAGAGAAAATGTTTTGAGAATGATGTACAAACGCGCTTTACACAATTGATGTGTGTATGGATTGTGATAACAGTTGTATGAGCCCCTAAAAAGATGTTTTAAAAATAAATAAATAAATGAATAAATAAATAAATAAAAGGGAAAGAATTTAAACAGTAAAAATATGCAAAATTAGCAAAATTAAGCACAATTCAGGGATAACTGAACCATTGTGACCTCCATGAAAGTTTCAGGATACCTCACTTACTTTACCCTTCGCAACTAGCAAACCAATCGTTTATTTTAGAAGCTACTTAAATAAATCTATACTTAAGTTCCTTAAACTATGGACTTTATTGTCACATAAGCTTTTGCTTCTACAGGCCCTGAGCTTTGGTGTCTCTGGTATAAGAAAACTATACATTATAAATATATCATTTTGACATCTTTTTCTTTACTTTTGCACAATTTGGAAGATGATTACTTGAATTTTGGAACCTAAACATATATTTTGGATGGAACCAATATGATTGGAGGGAAAAAAGCAAACAAAAATATGTAAGACATATTTCAAGTTCAATATCATATTTATCTTGTAAGGTAAAACTCAACTAACTGGGGAGAAAAAAAAGACATGGTTAAATTTTTGTGAAGTCAAAATGAGGCAGCCATGCTGAAAAAGAGTGCCAGCAGTGTATGAGACCTTACACATTGTTTGGGGCTTTGTTTTTTATGTACTCAGAAATATATTTTTGAAAAACTAGTTGAAAAGAAAATTTAATTTGTTCCATTAATGTCCAACAATATAACAACAGTCGGTGCTAGTTATGTGGTCATTTCATTTGTCTTTGTTATGCTATTTTTAAATTGAAAGTGTCTGGGTTGAGATGTTTATTTGCAAAGTGGTAAAAGAAGAGAAACACTTTCAAAAAACATAAATTTTGAAATGAGCTTGTGTACGTGTAAGATACACACACCCACGGTTTGTCTTACTGTGATGGTGTGTGTGTGGCTGTGATAACAGATGCCAGGCCACCAGTGTTTCCGATGCCAGCAGGGTCATCCTGGGTAAGCAGGTTTCAGTGGAGCCTCCAAAGAACAGACTAGAAGGATGAAATGGGCTCTCTCCTTCTGAAGAATTAGAGACAGGAGAAATGATGAATAGTTGTGGAACACTGTCTGATAGAGTGCCCCAAGATGAGTCCCTCGGGTTGAAAGGCACTGAAAATAGGCACAGGGGCTGCAACCATGGACTCAAATTAGGACAAGGATCGCGAGGACGGTGAGAGACAGAGCAGTGTTCAGTTCTGTTGTGTAAAAAGTTGCTACAAGTCAGCGCTGACTCAGCAACACGTAACCACAACAATACATGCCCATGTGCATGCGTACTCAAATGTGAAAATAATATTTCCATCAAGACCGCAATGCCGCTACGCTTCCTTCTATATACCAACCACTCTAGTATTAGTCCCTTAGAATGTCTTGAACCAAATATATATATTTAAAATTTCTTAGTATCTTCAATAAAGTAAATATATATAAAATATTATTTAAGATATAGCAGTGTGGAGACTCACTTTTCAGATAAAGTTCAAATGAAACAAGATATGACTTTGAAAACGGTCTACTTACCTGCAGGGGAGACACCATGATCATGAAGGTGGTTTTCTCAGGGTGAGGCTCACCCATTGCGCTCTGATGTGCTGACCCCTGCGATTTCCCCAACTGTGGGAAACTCGACTGCACAATTTGTGATAGTGGGGGACTGCATCTGTGCTTTCCCCTGCATTAAAAAGAAAAAGAAATAAGAAAACAGCCTACTCCGAAAAATATATATTGCTTACCTGAGGAAATAATTGAGTTATGATTTTTTATAGAAGGATTAAGCAGATTTTTATGTCATTAAAGAAAGAGCATATAACCGAGTTAGGATCTGGACAAAGAGAATGATTTTATTGTTTTCAATGCTTAAGAAGAGGTCCACAAATGTTGGCTCTTTAGAGATATTTTGAATATTTCTATGAACAAATGAAATAAAGAGTTGCATATTTTACTGTAATAAAAACAATGTTTAGAGAATGAGAACATAAGGGTTCATTATGGGAATTCTGTGTTTCTGAGACCCTTAGGCCATTTTCATGCCTTGAAAGTTATAATAATAATAGAAAGATAAAAAATACAACCAATCATCTTCTTCCAGAGTGATTCAAATAGGTAATGAAAGTGGGTCCTCGTAATTGAGAATAAAAGTAAACCTTGTTTCTTAGTATGCTAGAAAAAATGTTATAAATTAGGACAGTCAAGGCTCTCCAATAAATGTGGTCACCCAATATTCCCAAATCTTCCCAACCCTACTCCCACAGAAAGGAAGAAAACATAAATATGCAACATTAATTCCCCATGACAGTGAAACAAATGGCCAAGTGGACCCGTGGCCATGAATACAACCCATGGCACAAGAGATAAGTAACGGAGATGGGCCTCTTCCATTTCATTTACACAGTCCGATGACCTGCTTCGATCCCTGCATAGTTCTCTGGAAGAGTTTGAAAGAACCCCGCTGGCACAGAGAGGAGTCCCTGGAGGAACACAGACGAGTGATAGGAAAAGGATGAAGGAAAGGGGGTGGATGTGAGTGGATGGATTCCCTGGATCAAGAAGTACGGAGGGACTGAGAGCTGGTGCTGTGACTGTGATTTGGACCATATTAAAAGAAAGAAGTTTACTACTTTTGGTCTTATGTGGCTTTGATCAACGATGGAGTCCACACATGTGACTCTAGGTAACTTGGAAACTACATTATTCATAGTCCCTTGACTCATTGTTTCAAGGCTACTGCTCCAAGTTTCTATATGGGAGAAATTGAATTGATAAAGAATTCCCACCTCATTCTGTTGAAGCCAGAAGAGGGGATCGCATGGTACAACGCAGCAACCTAGGTTCTACCAGCTACTTCAAGAAACTCAGAGAATGCAAGACATCGCCTGTTCCCTTAAAGCATGTCTGCATATAAAATAGAAATTAGGTTCTTAGCATAGTGAAGGAAAAGAGAAAAAAAAATTAAATTATTTTCATAGGTTAAAATGTGGCAATGTGTTCCAGCAATTTATACCCCACTGCTCAAAATAGTCCCCCACGGGAGGAAGTACTGCTTCTGCTTTATAAACAAAGGACCGGGAATCTGCCATGGCCGCATGGCTGTTAATCCTTGATCCCCAGCAGATCTTGCCACCAATATCCACACTTTCCCATCCTCGTCATGAGGTGGCTTGACATCGCATGCAGGGAACTATTGACCTCGGGGATCAGCCCACTTGGAATTACAAATTGCTTCCTGGCAACAAAGCAGGAAGCTCCGGATATGGTCCAGTTCATGTCTGCCTCTTTCTGAGACAAGTAGGTCTGTCTTCCTCAAGTCCTTTTCATGATGAGATTGCATCTCTAAAGGCCAAAATTTAGGTCACTTATGTCTATGAATTTCAGTTTCATTTGACCTACTTAATTAACTTGAATGCAGTGCATTCGGTGTACCAAGTCCTCAGCCAAGGTGCATGCTATTTGAAAGCTGACCCTGCCCTCACGGAGCGCACAGTCCAGCAGAAGCGATGAGACGTGGGCATAAATAACCACCATGCAAGGCAAGCCTAGATAAATGCCATCTTACAAATACTTTTGGAGTAAAGTAGAAACGTTATAAAAGAGCATCCAGGTACATAACTATAGATGGGTAATGTTTGGCTTGGAACTGAAAGAATAGAGTGAAGTTAAATGTATGGGGCTGGAAGAAGGCATTCCCTGCGGGGCCAGGAGGGATGAGTATGAGCAGAGACCTAATGGCGTTAATCAGGGGTCAGGGCAGGGGACAGCAAGAAGGGTGGTGATGCTGCCAGTAGTGAGGAATGGGTGCTGTAAGTGGTTCTCCTTTCTGACATTGACATTTGAGAGTCTGATTGGGTTCCGAGCTATTCTCAGAATTGGCCGTGGCAATCTTTGAGGCAGGTGCCAGACTCAGTGTTTCTGTCTTTGTGCCGTCTTTTTCCTTTTGATGAATCTCTGGACCTATGAAATCCACCTCCTCTCCCCACACTGTTATCAAACCTCATACTTGCATTCAAAATGGGGGTCAAAAAAATAGAAGAAAAGGGCAATTGATTTGTATGTTTCAGTCATTTCCTTGGGAACACGCTGAGCTTTTACTCTGGGGTGACTGCGAAAGAGACCCTGACTGTGATTAGATCTGTCAGATAGTGGCTGTGTTCCACGAGGTGCCTAGGGAAATAAAACCACCGACAATTGCCCATGTCGCCATGACCAGAGGGCTGCCTGCTGAGCGGCACAATAATAGGTGAGTTTATGTGCCTGTGTACAAGAACCACTTGGTTAAGACTTGGCGGGGGGGCGGGTTGTTCTAGATTTGAATCAGCGTTGGACAGATCTCTAAAGCTTCTGTTCAAACCTCAGATTACGTGACTCGGAATACAGAGGCAGGCGCACATACTGAAATAATGTCTGATGGTACCCTGGAGAGTCTGGGAGGTCCCATTGTGTCTATGTCTGTTCCAAACCTCATGCCACTACCAGAGTGATCTTTATAAAGCATGAACAGGACTACATCCTCCTCCTTCTCCAGCTTCAAATGTCCAATGTCTCCCACTGAAGTACAGGACAAAGTCCAAGGCTTGCCTGGAGTTGCCAAGAGTAGATATTTCAGCAGCAATCAAGGGGTGTCCTTTCCTGCATATATCTGCCTGCTTAAAGAGCTCCTTCCTCATACTGACGCCACAAATACACAGTGGCTTAAAATGTTCTCTTCACCCGCACCTCCCACCTCTTTGTCTTGAAGGCATAGCCCAGGCCCCTTTTCCGTTACAAGCCATGCTTGACTTCAGTAGTTGAGCGTGGTGCCCATGTCCCTATTGTGTCCTTCACATATTTAATTATAAATGAATATGATGATTTCTTCAAAGCAGTTTATGTAAACTCCTCAGAATCCAGTACTGGGTTTTATTAATCTTTGAATCTTCATCGACTAATATAATATCTGCCACAGTGCTGTATACAGTGAATGTTAATTGCACAAATTCTGGATGGAAAGTAGGTGAGTATATAAGAAGTAGGTAAATCCCACTACCTTATTTATTTTGCAGAAGAAGCTACTGAAGCACTGAAAAGAAAAAAACCCATCACTACACTAATGTATAAAACTGCTGGCTGAGCACCTTATTCCTAATGTGATACTCATTCCTGCCTTTCAGCGCACCTCAGAAAGAACCTCTTGTCTCTTGAATGCCAATATGAAAAAGACTTAGCACTGAACAGCTCTAAAGAACTTAGGCACATCCAGATTTCATTATGCGTGTCTTCCCTGTAGTCTGGGTCACATAATCTGTTTTTTAACAGAAAAGCAGTAAGAATACTATTGTTGTTGTTGTTGTGTGCCAATGAGTGGGCTGTGACCCACACTGACCCTATACACAACAGCTACTCTGATTAAGAGCAAGTTTCAGAATTTCTACTGACACCCACTTTGATCTTTTCTCTTATTCATGTCTTTTTTATAATCTTTTCTTTGTCCATGACTGATGATCCTGATGTCCCCCCACAGCTCATTGGGTCTTCTGCTATTAGTATTCAATGCAGAAAATCTGTTCTTGAGATGTTCTCAAAATCCAGGTGGGATAGACTCGAGGTTATGTTTGGGCTATCAATGTTGTGATTTTCTTCACCTTCAACCTGAACTTGCAGATGAGCTGATGATCTGTTCCCCACTTTGCCCCTAACCTGGTTTTAGCTGCTGACATTGACAGTGAGCTTCTTCATCGTTTCTTCCCCCAGATGTGGTCAATCTGTTCTCTGTGTCTTCCATCTGGAGAAGTCCAGGTGTGTAAGTCACCCATTGTGTTGTTGAAAATGTACTTGTGATGAAAAAGTCGTTGGCCTTTCAAAATTCTGTCATGACATCTCCAGCTTTATTTCTATCACCAGAGCTGTATTTTCCAACTACTTGTTCCTTCCAACTTTTGCATTCCAACTGCCTACAATTATCAAGGCACCTTGATTGCATATTTCATCAATTGCAGAATGAAAAAGGTATTAAATTTCTTCACTAGTTTTGAGATTGGTGCATAAATTTGAATAGTAGTTTTATTGATTGGGTTTACTTGATTGAGGATAGATAGAATCTTATCACATCGAGCACTGTGCTTCAGGAGAGACCTTGGGATGTCCTTTCTGACAGCGAATGCAGTGCCGATCCTGATTCTGTAATCCTCACCATAGTAAGCCACAGGATTTTTCTCATTCAAAATGGCTAAGACAAATCCATTTCAGTTCACCAAGAGCTAGGATATTAATCTCTATGTATTCCATTTCATTTTGATGATTTCCAATTTTCCTAGATCCATACCTCAGACTTTCCAAGTTCCAGTTGTTAAATGATGTTTCTTCTTATTTGGAGTTCTACCCCATCAGCAAATGAAGACCCCGATAGCCTACTCCCATTGACTTTACTCCATCCACATCACCATGGTTGAGTCTACTTTGAAAAGGTATCTCCTCCTCAGTCAGATTTTGAATGGTTGACTCCTATTGATCATGGTTGAGTCTACTTTGAAAAGGCAGCTCCTCCTCAGTCAGATTTTGAATGGCTTCTGGCTGGAGGTGCCCATCCTCCCACACTATTTCTGATAATATTCCACTCCCATTCATTATGCCTTTGCTAGCTAACAAGGTTTCAATAGTATGCATAAGGTTTTCAGTGGCTACTTCGCCGCAGCGGATAGTCGG